AGAAATCAATCCAAACATCTGGTTTGCTTTTACACAGGGGTCAGCTCAAAAGAGAAAATCTGATTTGTAGCTGATTGGGTAAAATATTTGAAAACACTAATTTTGCTATTTAGTTTTGCTTTTCTTTTATGTTTCCCTTCTTTATGTCCCTTTGATTGTTCTCACTGCCGTTTCAATTCAATGCTTGTATCAATCTGGTTTTTATTGACTCTCCCACAAAGTGTTTTATGAGTGTGCTTTGAAAAATCCTCTTGAAATATTACTCAAGAGAATAATCTTGTTGAAAGATGGGGTCCCTTTATACTACCTCTACTTCTATTGAAACTGCAGTGATGGAATGGATGCTCACTATCAGTGGTGTTTGAATGATGCTGTGCGTGCCTGAGGCTCAGCTTTGTCCCATTTGCTCTGTGTGCTGTCTTCACCCGTCTCCTCTCCTCTTGTCTGCTCAGAAAGATGACGTTCGGGAAGGTGAATGAGCTCGGCCAGTTTATCAGGGAGGCAGAGCCCGAGCCGGATGTGAAGAAATCCAAAGGTACACTGAGACTCTTCTGTCTCTCCTCTACCTTCATCCGTCTCAATATTCTCTCTTTGTATCTGTGCCCTCACTCTGTCATATTTTATCTCATTCCTCCGTTCAGTGAAAAACACCTACTCTGTGCCCATGAATATAAACCTCCTCTAGTGGCTGCGTCTATTCTCCTTACAGCTGATTGTCTTCTGAAATATTTAAATATATTCCCTCTCAGGAAAATCACTCAGAGTGTGTGAAACGACAGAAGAGTATCAGGTCAAGTTATAAAAAAAAAAAGAGAAGAGAAAATAAATTTCAAGAAAGTTGAACTCAATCAGAGGAGAAATACAGTATTTGTATTTTAAATTTTGCATATGGCGAATTATGTTCAAGTTTAAAGTCAGACTTTAACGAATTCAACGACTACTGCTGCTACAAAGTGCCTTATGAAGATGAATGATGGAAATGATTCTTCAGAATCGGTAACAAAGAATACTTTCTCTTTTAGCACATTAACACAGTGTTGGGATCAGTATTAGATCTTAAAGATGGAACAAAAGAAAATGGTTTTAAGTAGAAACTAGACAAGCTTGAAAGATGAGGTTGCATTTATGTAAACTGAAATAGCTGCTAATGGATAAGTGTGGGCGTATCGATGGTTACACTAACACTTCCAGATGTCACACTCTGGTAACTCAGCTGTCTGTCACTCCAACAATCTTGGACCCTATCAGCGGTCCTCTAATGATGAATTAGCCTCTGAGGTCAATGGCCATCATTTTTGAGCTTCTGGTGTAAAAAGCATATGTCTGAGTCATGACCCCATCATCCATACACTGTTTTATTTACGTCTAAATGAAAAAGATGTATTTTGTTTATTAAAAAGAAGAAAAGGCACTGAAATTCCTTCCCTCTTTCTCCCGCTGCTCATCCTCTCATGTAGGCTCCATGTTTTCTCAAGCCATGAAGAAATGGGTCCAAGGCAACTCCGATGAGGTGAGGCAGCAAAATGTTAAATAATCATAAATGATTCAGTGGTCTGAGGCGCAGAGCGAGCCTCTCAAGGGTATTGCATTCATATTCGCTGTGTGACGTCACTCCGTGACTTATGATTTATTGAAGAATTTAGATAAACGTCTGTGTCGAATCAAAGTTATTGATTGTGCTGTGACTCAAGGCCCAGGAAGAGATGGCGTGGCAGATCGCCAAGATGATCGTCAATGACGTCGTCCACCAGTCAAATCACGACAGCCCCGGCAAGGCCACCAAGGTACAAACCCTCGCTCAGTATTCCTGCTCCTGTGCACTGATGACCGCAGCTCCTTTCTAAGTTTTTTATTTTATTTTAATGTTTTTATTTTCTGTCTGTCTGCAGTTATGACCCGCTAAGAAACCAAAGGAACGTCACTCCCTGCGGACACTGGCCAGACAGTGACAAAGCGTGCTCGGGGTTCACCCTGCAACAAACTGCATTACTCTGAGAGCGAACAAGGCTTTTTTCTCACCTCCCTGACCACCACCTCTCTGTGCGCGCATGTGTGTGTGTGTGGTTGTGAGCTCAGTTGTGTGAATGTTCAGGCATGGGCTATTGGAGAACTTGAAGTAGATCATTGTTTGAAGATTCCAACTCCATAACACTATAAAGGTACATATGTAGTGGAAAGTAAAGCAGCTCAGAGTGCGTGCGTCTGGCTGGAGGAAGTCGCTCCTCGGGATGGAAACCTTCACCATGACCCTGGGGGAAAAAGAAGCAGCATTATCGTCGGGACTGTCGCTGTGCGGCTGCAGCCATAGTGTTTGTACAATGTCTCATCTCGGACCTATGGAGGACGTATCAAAGACTGAATTACCCACACTCCCTGGCGACACGCCCACCCACACCTTTTAGAAGCATTCCTTGTTTTTAGATGAAAACCTTGTGTAAGGCTCAGCTAGTGAAGACGAAAATCACCAGTTTGGAGAACTGTACAGTTTTTGTTTTGCATTTGCTTCCCCTCAGCCCGCCTGGAGTAGTTCTGTTTGCTGCTCCCCCACATGAGCTGTCCTTTACCTTGGCTGTTAACTGTACGTACTGTAGAACATGTGGAACTGTGACAATGAAACACAAAGGATCTGATACAGTTCTCGGACTTCCTATGTTAACCTCCTGGCACCTTCATAGAGTGTAGAAGAAGATGAAGAAATACTCCATAATGTACTTAAAATACTCCAATTGTGTTGGAAAACTCCAAACTCCATGTTCTAAATGTTTTTACATTTCTGGTTTACCCCATATATCAACGTTAGTCCTTTTTTATGATGATCGCAGCTTTTTTTTTATGCATCACTTAAACAAACATCCGTGATAACCAGACTGTTCAACTGGAAAGTTTGCTCAATTAACTAAACTTTTTTTTATTTTTATTTCTTTTGAGCCTTACCAAGATATGGAACCAGAAAAGACTCTTGGTACTATGTACCACTAATGTTTTCTGACATGTACATGTTCGTAATCTATAATATATTTAAAATTGTGTTTGATTTAAATACAGATATTATGAAATGTTCTGTCTGTCCTCCTTTTTGTTTGTATTTGCAGTCCCCTGCAGGCTGTGGTTATGTCAAGACAGAACATCGATGATGTTTTCAGGCTGATTTTGTTTTAAAAATAACGTTCAGAAAAGTATTGTAGTTCAAAATGTGTGGAGAGTGGCACTCAGTTAAAGAGGAGGACTATTATTGACTGTGACCATGAGGGGGCGACGTTTGCTGTGTTGCTATGGTTGGGTTTAACAGAGGAAGGACCTTGATGACTCAGTATATTATTTCAGAGTTTACTTTCAATCAGTGCGTCTCACACAGGCCCAGCAACATCCACGAATTGTAAAATACACTCATCTCACCATGGTTACAGCCTAGCTCTATGGAGCATTTCAAGTATTCCTTCCTGTTTCAGTGATCTAACTGTGGAAGTCATTTCTTGCTGTTGGTTAGGTTTTGACACAGTTCATTGCTGTTTCACATGCGCTTCATAAGAACACGAGCATTTCTCCCAGTAGCTGAGTTTGACAGTGGCTTTATGCAGCTGGGTGTATTTAAAATGTTCAGTTAAACCTGCTGTCAATCAATCACTGATGATATTATACAACATGACTCAGCCACACGTCAGCAGCTTTCACCACATGCTGCTTATTCTCCACGTGCAGGGGCAACGCCCACCCCCATTCAAACCAGCCCCTGTTCTGAGCTCTGATTGGCTGAGAGGATGTAACTACCTTTGTGCATCAGTTAATACACGAATGATGTGAACTTTTACTGTTTATTCCCGATGCTCAGGAGTATTTATTTATTTATTGAGATTATTTACACTGAGATTAAAGGTGTTGAATTAATTATCTCATATACTGTTTTTATTTTAATGGTTTTATGTCCCGATTGCTTCATGGAAGCTGGTGCGCTGCGTTACATGCACGTGGGATGATACCTGCTGTCAGTCTCCTGCTCTGTCAAGTTGAAAAGACTATGTGCAAAGCACCGGAAATGCATTATTGCCTTCAGAATAAAAGTAAGTTCAAACAAGGGGGAAGGATATCCTGACACAAGCCTCAATTTTTACAACTTAGTAGTAGTTGATATAATAACAATTATAATGGAGTACTTCCAAACACTTTGACGATCTCCCACTTTCTTCCATCCCATATTACTACACACTGACTCAAGAGTAACATGTGATGTTGTTGCTGATTGAGTAAATGTAGCTGTGCATGCATGTCCATGTCTTACTGTGACCAAGACATTTCTCCGATAACAACAGCACTGTGTGTATTGTGATAAGGAACAGTTGGGAATCAAAACAGCCCTTTCTGTCTTTTAATCAAACGTCCAGCACCAAAAACATTGGATCATGCATTTCCCACAATGCAACCAATATGGCAACTATGTTTTCACCTCCATTTGTCTGTTTGTTGGTTTGCTTGTTTGTGTGAAGACGGGATTACACAAAACTACCCGACGGATTACCATGAAACTTGGTGGAGGGATGAGGTACGGATTGGGGAGGAACCCGATAAACTTAGGTATGGATCAGAGGTATCCAGGATTTTTTAAATCACTTATCACCATTTAACATTGTGAGATGGGAGAGATTGATGAAAAAAATCTGGCATGTTTAGGTTTGAGCTCTATGTCTGTGCAATTTGGTGCAGCTTAATTGAATTTAAAGGGCCTGTTGGAGGAGGAATTCAATCTACTGAGTACCGTATTGGTTTGAGTTCTCCACAGCCACACAAGGCTTTATAGCATACAGCTGTTTCCACAGGCTGAGACTGAGATGTAGTCATTTATCTGTAAAATCTGTGTCGTCCCTGAAGTTAGAATTATTTATAATCCCCATGGAGACTTTGGTAAAGCTGCGCCCCTTGTGCGGGGTTTTATTTTGAAAAGGACAGCCGAGAAGGCTCTTGTAGCCAATAGCAACTTGACGTTGTCCAGAGCCTGATACGCAAAGTGCGCTGCTGCCCGTGTGCATGTGGCGTGAGACTGTTGAGAGAGGCGGAGGAGTCCAGCGGTGCAGGTGTCTGTGTGTCCACATGTGACTGCTGCTCCAGCTGTGCTGCTGCTCCAGCTGTGCTGCCGCTCCAGATGCGCACACACTTCAGGGTGTGACAGGAACACACAGCCTGTCTGCTCCGTGCGTTGTTTTCCGGACTCCTGTGACTCCTCTCGCTGATGTGCGTCTGGATGTTTTCTTCCCTCGCTGGTTTGTTTGTGTTCTGAGCCAGATGTTCTGGAGGCTGCGGACATCCAGCGGCTTTTCTTCTTCTCCTCTTTGTGCTGGTGCAGCTGCTGGTCGGGGCGCTGAAGTTGAACTCCCGCTCCTGAAGGCGTGAGCTCCAAATGCATTCGCTCCTGGGCCGGGAGAAGAAAGAAGAAGAAGCCGGGTTCGGGATCGATCGGTCGGGTCTGTCTCCGGGCTTTGCGCCCCACGCCGCCACCATGTTCAGCTGCGTGGGCTGTTTCTGGGTGCTCCTCTCCTCCGCTCTGGTCGCCGTGTGCAGCTTCAGCTTCATATCTCCTGCGTGGATAGTCAAGGACCAGCTGAGGAGCAGCCTCCACCAGCAGCATCAGCACCACAGCCAGGACTCCGTGAGCTTCGGCTTGTTGTGGCACTGCTCCGAGTCCCTGGATCACATGTACCGGTGCTACACCTTCGGGGGACTGGGCAAATTCGCAGAGATCCCCTCCAGCTCCTGGCAGGTAGAGCTCACCTTAGACACACACACACACGCACACACGCCTGTGGATGAGAGCCCATAGAGTGGGCAGGGCAGGGGCCACTCAATGTGGCACCATGGGACCCAGGGTTGAATGGATGATCAAATCAGCCGATCACATCTAAATCAAATGACCTTTTGATGAAATTCAATCTGAGGAGACAGTTATGTCATTAATCTTCAACCTGTAAAATGCACATGACATGATTCACAAGAGGCAAAGTTATTCTTTTATGATTAGTAGTTTATTATTCTTTTCACAGAAGACAAATTATCCACACTTAATGTCAAGGGATGAAGAATAGTGAAGAAAGAAAAAAACAAACAGTAAAAGACTATAAAAGAGAAAAAAACATATACATCCATACAAAAAATGAATTCACATGTACGAGACAAAATGAAAAGAAATCTGTTCAAAATGACAAAGCACAATTTGAAAGCAAAATAAAAGAGGTTAAAAATCATCAGAATATGAGGTGAAGAGTATTTATTCTTTCACATTTCTACTCATCCATCATCTTTCAATCCATGAAATTAGATTATTTAGCGTCTTGTGTCAGGTCAGGGTTCGCTGACACTGCTGCTGCTCACACAACACGTGTCACAGCAAAGTGAACAATGCAACACGATAAACACTGTGGCTCCGCCGCTCCTCCTCAGTCGGCTCTCGTGAAAACACAGTTGGGACGACGCAGAGTCTTTTCAGTCTGGAGAAAAGATGCACTGATCTGAGGGAGGGTGCATCACAGGGAGGAGCACACACACACACACACACACACACACACACACACACGCGCACACAAATAAATCATCCTTTCAGCAAGAATTTCAGTTTCATTTAACATTTTTAGCAAATTGGCAGCTTTCAGGAGGAAACAGCAACATCCAACATGACACATCCTCAACACTGGGCGTGGGAATCTGGTCACATCAGCATCTGTGGGCGAATATTGATCCATTATCAGGCCTTGATTTCAAAAAGTTTGCAATTGACTTCTTTGACAACAGGCTGGGAAAAGCTTGTTTGAGGAAAAACCAATTGGCCTTGTTAAAACTCTTGTATCTGGGACACTTATTATTCATGCACATTATGGGATAATTGAATTCTTAACCAGAGGCAGGCTCCGCACACCTCCTGCAAAAACCTTCAAAATAAAATTATAAAAACCTGCTCCAGTATACCACCTCTAGATTTATGATTTATGCATGAAGGTGTGATTGGGAAATTAGCATTTGAAAGGGGGGGTGTATTAATAAGTGGGTGCTCGGTTGTGTAATTGTTGCACTAGTTTCTGCAAAGTGTGGAGGATGCAACGCCTGCGTTTTTGTTTTCACGGGGCGGCAGCTGCAGACACACACAGAGCAGTGAGTGCACACAGAACAGATTGACTTGTCCTGCGGTGTTTCATCTCATTTGTGTTCAAACGTTAAGCACTGCGCGTCCTTTACGGAATTTACGCACTGTTTAAGGCTCATTTGGCTGAAATCTGGAGTCATTTTGCCAGTTAGCCAGTTGTCAGTGAGTTAATTAGTGAGACTTCCAGTGTGGGAATGTGTGTGTGTGAGGCTGATGGAGCTGCCTCTACGTGTGTTGTGTTATCACGGTGGTGAACTCGAGCGCACGATCCTGCCTCCATTAATAAAGGTGAAGGGGCCATTAAGTTTTCATCAGAGCCACTTTATTACTCCACCACTCCTCGCTGATGTGCACATCAGTTTGCTGATGCCTTCTGGTTTTTTAGTCGACAACCTGCACAAAAACACAAGCCTGTAGAAACAGTGTGTGCTCAGGCCTATGGAGCACGTCCGTGTTGATACACACACACACACACACACACACACACACACACACACACACACACACACACACGCCTCAGCAGCCATTAGTCCCACTCTGTGTTTGTGTTACAACACCTATCTCTGTACATTGAGCTGTGTTGTCTCCCTCAGAGTGGAAGAGTGTTCTCTGGGCTCACGCTGGAACAACATACTGTGGATACTCTGTTTGTGTGTGAATGAGAGGAGACAGAGGAGGAGGAGGAGGAGGGCAGGACAGGACGGGGAGCAGGAGGAGGCTCCCTGAGAAGCTGGCCTACTTGGGCTACAGTTTCTTTGGCCTTTTTTCTGTTGATGCTCCGTGTTGTCAAACGCTTTTGTTTGGATCACGCTGCTTTCCAGGTCTGCTGGCGCTCTGGAGTCCAGCTCCATCGCCATGGGCTGGCAGACACACACACACACACACACACACACACACACACACACACATTTGTACTTCTGTCTTTGTGAGGACACTCATTGGCATAATGCGTTCCCTAGCCCTTTGTCCTCACTTTCAAAAAATGTCCTCCCTCTGTAGGGTCTATGCTTATATGGTTCTTCTAGGTGGAGGAACACACACACCTCTGTGGCAAACAAACATGCACAAACACACAATTCAGCATCCTTCGGAGGGCGTGGTCTTCACGGGCCATGCAGACCACAAAGGCTGAACCAAATTGAGACGGTCTGGTCTACAGAGGATTTCCGTGATGGGTGTCACCAGCTGGTCACGCACTTATTGCTTTTGCCTAGAAAGGAAGTTGAAGTTGGACATGCCAAGAAAGTTCTAATGCCCCCCCAATGCTTCTTAAACGTGTGTACCCCTAGCAGTTGAGTTGAGTTGAAGTGTGGTACTCAACATTTGGACATCTTGTTGGTTGCAGGCACCATTACCTCTGAGTGTGTTCGTCACTGAAGTGCATTGAAACCTGGGATAGGTTGGGCAGGATCAATGTGGCACAGCAGCAGGCGGCACACATTAAGCTTATTGCAGAGGGGAAGCTATTGAAAACCTCTTCAGTGGTTTTCCACATAAATTATTCCTTGTGTTACTTCTGCTTGTTTCTGCCGGGTTGTGTAATCTTCCATCACAGCGGCTGGAGAATGATGGTGGTGAGTGAGCGTGTGTATGTGCTCCACTGGAGGAGGTGCTCTGTGAGGTAAAGTGTGAAAGAGGAGGAGGAGGAGGAGGAGGTCGTCTGCCACCAAACATTTTCACCTGAACTTGTTCACGGCGCAACGTGCTTCCAGCTGCTTATCACGGCCAAACACTGGAGCTGGAGGAGCTCGGCCCTCGTAGTAAGCTGCCAGTGCCTCACACACGCAAACACACACACACACACACACACACACACACACACAAACACACACACACACACACACCTGTCGTCTGGGTGCTCTTGGATTGTAAAACTTGGTGGCACTCGCTCTTGTGTCCTGCCTCCCCGCCGCATGTCGAGGTCGTCTTGTAAATGAGTCATGGCCGCGCTCCAGGAACGCAGATAAGAAAACGTCTGAGTTCGTTGGTGTGTAGGAAGATGGCAGCGTGTCAAGGCGCAGATTCTGGGATTCTGTTGAAATCCTCTGAGACAAAACTCTCGGCCCGTGTTGACTCTGCCACGTGCCAAGAAGATTAATTGTGCACGTTAGCATGGATGTTCTTCCTCTCCTAATTACCAGGTACCTATGAAGAACACTCGCTGGTGCATACGCGCCGCACAATGTCCTGAATGTCATTTCACCACTCACTGAGCCAGAGCTACTTTTAAGAAGATAGATAACTCATCTAATGAAATTCACTGATGATCCTTTGTCTCGCGGTGACTCCACTTTTGTCTTCGCCCACAAATCAGATTCTAGACAAACCAACGCTGCAAAGAAAAGGTTAACAAGCGATATCATGTTTTCTTTCTTCTACCTTCCTTTCCACTTCACTTATTTCACAGTTAATTAAGGCGCAATCAGAGCACAGCAATTCTGCCTCTGTATCAGGGTTTTTTATCAACGTGTCTGTGCTTGGAATGAACTACACGTTCTCTGGTGAACACAGTTAAACATGTTTTACCAGTTTGAACATGTGACGTGAATGTGAACCAATGTGAAAACGATCAAGTGCAGCCTTCACTCGGCACAGATGGGATTTCTCTACCCTCCCTCTAGTTTGAAGTCAGTTCCTTCTTTTGAAGCCATAACTGAACCAACAGACAACCCAGGGATATAATGTCAGGAGAACAAAAAATATTCCCTTATTTATTAACTGCATCAAGCAGGTTATGTCTTCAGGATTAGACAAAAAACACTTGATGGATTCCCACAAGACTTTCTTTAACATTGTGAGATTTTTAACAT